ACTGATGGCAATGGTCAGCAAATCCCCAGAGACACCAGACACATTGCAAGAATGGATCATCCATGAAAAAAAAAAAGTCACTTTCAAATTTTAATACCAAATCTATATTACCACTTTATAGATGCCTCTTTACATTGTTTTATTATTATTATTATTATTTTGAGCAATCTAAGGTGTATTTGTGGTGTCTTGTAAATGAAGTTTAGAGGAATGTGATTTATATAACTAATAAAATGACTGCTTGGTTTTCTTTTAGTTTTTGAGACAACTGAGGCATAGCTAAAGAGAGCAGGAACTTAAAAATATTTGTGGACCAATGCATACCCTAGGGAATAAAGTACATTATTTTCCATATCATTTCCCTAATGAAGTATACACGGATGTGCTAAAAGATGGCAGTCACAGTCAATGAGCAGAGATGTGCTCATAAATAAAGAGGTAACGTAATAGACAGTGATAATACAGGTGTATCATATGTGTGGCAGTGAGGCATATAATATATATATTATCTGAACATATGTATGCTGTTCTCTTGTAATTTGCTCTCTACAGATAGTCTAGCTTCCTGCTAGGAAATACATTTTAAGAGTTCTTTGATTTGGGCTTATCTAGAAGAACGGAATGCTGAGCACACACTCTCCTTCTTGCTATGCCAGAACATTAAGATGCAATATTTATTTATTTAGATACAATTTTATACATGATTTCACATTCTTTATTTCAGATTGTCAATGGGTATTTTGTGCATTACTTTGCACCCCATGAAATGCCAGTGTTTCCCAAAAATGTCATCTTCGTTATAGATCGAAGTGGCTCCATGGCAGGCAGAAAAATTGAACAGGTAACTTACCTCAGAGTGCTGGCCTCTGCTTGCATCAGTTGCACACACCAGTCTTTCGAGAAAGTGACAGTAAATTTCACTTTGTTTTGAAACACATGCAAAATTTTCAGACATATGGAAATACTTGAAAATACGTATGCCCAGATTTAAGCTATTAAAAACCAACACTTTTCTGATACAGCTGCTCTCACAGGTACCAAACGTTAAGGTGGAGAACACTTTTTCTGTCTCTGTCTTTGCAGAATATTTTGCTTCTTGGAAGTTTAAGGAATTAATTTGTCTGTTTTACCTTTATTGATGACTGTGTATGTAGCTTTGCTAGGCTACAGGCCTCATAGGTGTGTTTTTGTGTCTGTAAGTTAAGTGAATTGGCCACTTCTGATGGTCTCAACTGAAGAATATCATTAGGACTAAATAAGGGCATTGGGCTGCACCTTGAATACTGCTGTAGAGAAATCCCCTTATTACACAGCAATTCCAATCCCAGTTCTGGCAGAGAAGCAGAACTATTCAAAGTGGTTGTTTTCTCCTTGGAACAGACAAGGCATGCCCTGTTGAAAATTTTGCAAGACCTCCGCCCCGAAGATCGTTTCAGCTTTATCACCTTTAACAGCAAAGTGGTGGAGTGGAAGAGCTCTCTGCTGCAAGCCGCTGCAGAGAACGTGGCAAGTGCTGCAGGATTCGTGCAAACTCTTTCTGCTAGTGGAGGTACGAGGCACAACCTAGATGCTTGTAACCGCAAACATGCACCCAATATAGTATCTTCCTTAGAATAAAAATTATTATTTTTATTAGTCGTCTACTGCCACAGAACCACCCTCAGTGGTCAGAAAGCAAGTTTTTAATGCTTACTTTTTTAATACATAGTTTTTGACACTCATGAGTGATAAGTGGGATAGAAAGGCTCGTTATGGGAATGGATGGATTGGTGACTACATTATGACATGGATATATAGAGAGATGGTTACATCGCATCTATGAACTATACAAGCCACAAAAGTTTGTTTCAGATTTTTATAACAGAGATGGCTGGAAGATTTCCCAATAGTACTTTTTTTTTCCTACAGAAGAATGGCCATTCATTCAACATTTGACAGCAATCTGCTGATTTTCTTAATATCAAGAGTCCCCTTGTAAAATGCAATGCATCCAAAGTTATACTCCTGTGTAAGCCACACTACAGAAACAAAAGAGTCAAAATAGGCATGAAGCATTTCATTTGCTGCATCACTCGGTGTGTTTTGTTTTATTATTTAGTTCTAAGTGCATCTAAAAGGCTGTAGCTCCTGTTAGTGTTATGCTGTTAGTATTAATGTAGGTTTTCTTATCCCAGGCGCTAACACCAATAAAGCCCACCTGTGCCAATCTTTTTTCTTTGGCTTCTCAAACAAGGCTAGGAAATGCTTCTTAAATGTAGGTTAGCAGATGACAGTGTGTTTATTTAAGCCCTTTTTAATGGCTCTAGACGTGTTTGTATTTCCTATGACATATGTGTGGAAAATGCTCCCAAAAGAATACTCCAGCATTGCCATTGCAATGTACTACACTGTAATTAAGCCCAGTAGGCTAAACCCCTAAATCCTCATCTCTCTGAAGGATTACTTCCTGCAGAAAACTTTAAACAACTCTGCAGGGCCTCTGCAGATGAAGTGCATTGGTTTCTTCAGGTGATTATCCTTTTTTAGGTGAGTGATGTCTGCTTTCTCATTATAGGCACAGATATTAATCGTGCCCTGCTGACTGCTGTAAGCATGCTGGATAAAGCCGAGAGGCTGCCAGAACGGAGTGTCTCCATGATTATTTTGCTGACAGACGGCCAGCCCACTTCTGGTGAGTAAATACTAGCCTCAGCCCTCTCCCTCCCTGAGGTTTTTGGGTTGTTTTGTCTTTTACACTTGGATCCCTGATGTTGATAGACAGTCTGTGTTTCAGAAGAGCTTTGGTATAAGCAGGTGGGGCTATCACTGGAACTGTGTCAGAAGGAGGATGATTATGAGCGGGCTTTGGCAAGGGCTGTAAGAAGCGATGGCAGAGCCTGCCTGCCCATGACATGTCCTTTAGCTGGGAACTGGTTTGCTAAATACCATTGGCCTCCCAGTTTATAAACTCGAGGACTTGTTGGAGATACTCAGGCACAGCTAAAAGATGGAAGTAAAATTGTTAAAAGTTGAAGCATGGACATTTTGCATATATTGTATACGGTCCCATATGAGAGGTATTGCTTGTTGAAGCTTGCTTGCTTCACCCTTCTTGCCCCAAACTTGAGATATTTTCAAAGTGCCTCTTGTTTTGTGTTCTTTTCTGTGTCTAGCTCTTAACTAGTGATCAGCTGTGATAGCACAAAAAGATTGAAATAGAAATACTGGGTTAGATAAACAGTAACTCCCAATGCAATGGCACAAACATCGCTTGTTCTGAACAGGAGTTTGTCTGAGTATTGTGTGGCACCAGCCTCTCTCTGAGGCCAACAATTTTAATTCGGCTGTAAACCCTCTAATAAGACGAGTCTGCCTTTCAGATTGTGCGATCCATACTGCTTCAGGATTGGTTTATTTGTTTGGATGGTTTTTGGGTTTTGTTGTTGGGTTTTTTTTACCTAAAATTCAGCCCCTGGTGCTGACTCCTCAGCACAGTCACAGTGAGTCTCAAATATCCATGAGTACATTGCACATCCACAAATTGTCTAGAAATCAGGCTGGGGTGGAGTGCCAGGCGAATGCATGCAGCGTTATTGCATACACTGCCTTCCTTGGCAAAGCAGTTTGAAAGGGAAAAATCTGAGCTGCTCCCGTGGTGTTGCTACAGGCAGTGACAGTTCCTGCCTGGAGATGCTGATAGAGAAGCTCTCCATACAGGGCCATCAGCAGCTCTTCAAATGGGATAAGAAGATGGTGTGAAAATCTTTTTCTCTTTGACATGCAAAGGGGCTGGGAGAGAAGCATGGCTGAGTTAATTTGCAGTTTGTCTGAATTACACCATTAACCAATCCATTCTTCTCCCTTCTTCCCAGTTGATCAAGTATTTCTATCCCTTGCACAGTTAACGTGTAGTGTGTTTGCCTTTTGTCCTAAAAACCTCCTCTGTCCCCCATAATCTTGTGAAATATTTTGCACTTAGCCAGGACTGCATGAGTAGAGGTTAGTAAAAGTCATTAAGGAGGAGAATCAGGTTCTGGCACTCCATACGCAGAGTGGTGCTTTCATCTCCAACTCGATTAATGGAATTCTGTTCCATATATTTTTAATATTTTATTCTGAATCATATTTAAAAGACTTTAGGCAGAATTTTCTATTAAACCCACTGCTGTTTCTCTGTACTTTAAAACAAACAAACAAACAACTATATGTTTTTGTTTCAATTACAGGTGAGAGAAATGTGGAACTAATTCAAGAAAACATTCAGAAAGCAGTCAATGGGAAATATGCTCTTTTCTGCCTTGGCTTTGGGTTTGATGTCAGTTATAAGTTCCTGGAGAAAATGTCCCTAAGCAATGGGGGAATAGCACGTCGTATATATGAAAATGCTGATGCATCCTTGCAGCTCCAGGTCAGGACTAAGGAATATGCCAGAAAAGCCATCTGTCAGCTACTGCTTATGTCTAGTCCAGTCTTAGCAGACTTTCTGAGATGAAGAGTTGGGTTTGAGTTAATTTGTTAATTTTGGGAAGGGAGGAAGGCAATTTTGGAGTATCTGAGGGTTTGTACCCTAATCATGACTCACAGTTGAAGTCCTCCTCTAATCAGGTGTATTTGGTCAAACCTAGAAACACATATTTCTGTACCTCTGCAAAATGACAAATTGTCCAGGGCAGGTGATGGTGGAAAAACTTCTGTTCTTGGGTCTAATTTCAAACTGCTTGAAGTACCACCGTTAGAAGCTCTTTGTTACAGTTTCCCTAAAAATCAGCAGGTAGTTTGAGGCACCTAAAGGCAAACTGACTCTGCAGCACCACCAGCTTGGGTCTTTCCTGACCACCCGGAGAGGGGTTACAACTTCCGGGACATTCTCTTTTTTGGGAAGCCACTTCTACCTGTTTTGGCTGGACATGCAGAGACTGGACTTGCTTAACACAAGCCCCAGTCCAGAAAGAGAAAGATTAATCCTCAGGATTAGTCAAGCTTAAAAAATCGAGTGTGAAAAGTGGTTAAAGCGCAACACCTAACTGGGTAGGATGGTGACAATGGAGATGCTGCTTGGGTACTTAAATTACCACGGGAAATACAGTTTATATGGCATCGCCAGCCTGGCTGGAGAAGGTGTGCTGAACCTTGTGAAGAAACTTTTTTTTTTTCCTAGATTTGCAGCAGTCTTACACTGCTGAAGAAAAAGCTTTGCTCCCTTCTTGTTAAGGGGGTATTAGACATTCAACATAGTGCTTTGCATCATTTTGCAGTCATTTGTGCACTCTCTCTCTCTTTCTGATTCTCTTCAGGGCTTTTATCAAGAGGTGGCTACCCCAATATTGATGCAAATCGAAATGCAGTATCCAGAAAATGCCGTTGAGGGGTTAACCAAGAACAATTTCAAGCTGTTTTTTGAAGGATCTGAAATTGTAGTATCTGGAAAAATTAGCAATGATCTTGATCTTTTGCCAGTAGAAATTAAAGCTCAGTCAGTAAGTGTTTATTTTACTAACTGTGAAAAACATGTTTCCCTTCCGTCTTTTACTGTGCAACAGGAGACTTCAGGAAGTCTTTTGTGTGCAAGATATATTCTCTACATTGGGGGATTCAGCTTTTAGGAAAATATTTGAGAAGCGAACAATTTTCCCCTCCTGAATTTGCTACAAATTGAAGTATATCCACAAATAATTTAAAGCCTTTCAAACACTTTCAGGAAACTTGTTTGTATTTTCAGAAGGAAATCTGAATTATCTCCAAAATGTTGAAACAGAACAATTTCAACATTGTCTCAAGTCCAGAGATGTGTATCCAAAATACATGCCGCTTTGGTAGTTTGGAGTTGCATTTTCCAATGAGAAAGAACAAAATTGAAGGACAGAAAGGGCACTTTAGTACTGAAAGATGTTCTTTTAAGTCTAATAATGTGACTATGAAAGAAGTCTGGAACTGTTATTTTGACGGTCAGTGTTCTCCCACTTCAGCATGCTAGTGACTTGACTCTTAAAGAAGAAGCAAAGGTCAAAGAGAAGGAGCAAGTGTTTCAAAATCAAAGTTACATCTTTGGAAATTTCATAGAGAGACTGTGGGCTTACTTAACCATTCAACAGCTTCTGGAAAAATCGTAAGCTATTCTGATGTTTTGTATTACAAATATCAAACTTCTTAAAACACAAATTCCTTATTCACAAATTATATGATCAGAAAACACAAAGAAACAGAAATATTTATGCAGATAGTATCAACAACATAGTATACTGGAAGAATATTACATTATTGTATGAGGAACATGAGGTGCCTTTCAGTTTATGATAGCACTGTATCATTAAATGTGTATATATGTGTATGTATATACACATCTGAAAACATAATATAAAATGTTCTTCATGACATTACTATGAAATAGATTTTAATTGCATGGGTTGTGTTGAGCTGTTGTTGCATACCCAGAAATATTGGCTGTAGATAGGTGAATGGCAATAGCCTGTCAAGAGAACAAGAAGTATGTCCATAAGACATTTCATAGATCATGTGTCTATTATTTTTATGTATTTGAACCATACATAGCCTCCAGTGTTGCAAACGAGCATTGCCATAATTTCAAGCACGTGAGCATCTTAATTATCCCCGTAAGAGTACTCACCCTTCAATAATAAAAAATATTTGTTAAGACACAGCTAATACGAAAAAGAATCTGAAGATGACTTGCTCATAGTCTCTATACGTTATTTCTTCATCATTAACACAGACTTTAGTATTTCAGCACAAGAAGGGGACCAGAAAACCCTGGAGGCGCAAGTCTTAGAGCTGTCTCTGAGGTACAGCTTTGTTACTCCCCTCACTTCCATGGTGGTCACCAAACCCTCTGGCCAGCAGCAGATGGAGCTGGCGAACAAACCCACCGAAGCTGGTAAATGCAGCATCGAACAGCCCCCTGCAATTTGCTGCTGTTACTAATGACAATCTGGTGTTGATCTGCAGTATAGGTTGATTTTACAGTGATGAGACATGGTAATGGACCACATTGGAGGCAGGAGTTCGGGGATTACCTTCCTTTCAAAATAAATGATACAGGATTTTCTTAAAAGGTGAAGGGGTGAAATTTGAAACGGAAAATAATTTGTTTAAATATTAACTACAAGTAATTTAACAGTTGTCACTCAGCATTCCTGTCACTGCAAAGGGATTCTGCACTTTTCTCTGTTGCATTAAAGCGGAAAAATGAATGCAGGGGAGGAAAGCATGCCACCGCTAGGGGTCTTGCATGTGCTCTATCTACCTATCCTTTAAGACAAAAAAAGCTTGTCAGCTGAAGCCCAGCACCCACTCGTCCCAGTTTTCTGGTTTGCACATTGGTAAAGTCACTTAGTGTTGACTGTATGTCACTGATCTCTCCCTCTTCCTTGTGTTAGATAATGAGAAGCCCAGCAGTTTTCCAGTAAGAGGTAAATGTTTTCTTTTTTTCCAGTAGCATATTTCCGTAACAGTCTCTAATGGAAACAAACAAACAAACTAACCAACCCACCACAACACAAAACAACCAAAAAAACCCCCAAAAGACTCGTGGTGGTTGTTCTATAGAGAGAAGTGTCTGAGATTTGGAAAAATGTGTGAAGCCAAATGCAAGCAATGACTGCCAAGGTCTGTGCAGGGTTTGAATGGGTAACATGGTCAAAGGGAGAAAAACTTCCATTCAGAAAGTCTCAAAGGCCAAAATTGTCTTTACTCACGAGAAGTAGTTCTTCAAGTGAACAGTGCTAATGATGTTTTCTGCTTCTTCCTGCCATGTGTGAAGCATCTGTCAAAATATTAAGCTCAAGATATTTTGGAATTACTTCTGAGGATGACTTAGCTGTTTTTTCTCTCTCTTTCTGGAAATAATAGATGTGTTTGAATATTAATTTTAAACTTCCAGCTTTATTAATCTGATAATCTCAGCTATGATAATACATCATAATAGCAATGCTTTTATAGGTGAAGAGCCCTGTTTTTGGTAGTTCTTTCACAGAAGTATATTGAGGGACTTATAATGCTGCCCCATTCTCTGAAGGTTATGTGTTTCAAAGAGGTATGGGGGAGTTTAATGGCAGAAAACTCTCTAACCAGAAGCACAGCCCAGTGACCATCCTGCCCTGCTCAGGGGGCACACAGGACTTGGCACTGCGCTTGCCTCAGAGCTCCCTTTGGCTACAAGAGGAGAAGATTTTCGTGCCACACTGAGCCCTACATTGGTGTGATGGTTGGGCAGGCACAGCTGCTTGAGGGCACAGGGATGTCCCCACTGGACCTGGGATTGGTGCCCACCAGAGCACCTCTGAGCACCATTGCTCTCCATCGTGACAGACCAGCACGGCTGGAGTGGCCGGGGAGGAGAAGGGACAAACAGGACGCAAGGCTACTGGGACCAAGGGAGGTCTTGTTGTGCTCTTTTGGGTGTTGCTGCGACTCCTCATGTTGAGCTCACTTGATTTTAACTGGTAGTAACAGCTCTGGTCTGGGGCTGCAGTGCTCCAGAAGGACCATGCTGTGAGTCTCTGCTGGTGCCGTAGCTCTGCATGGAGCAGGTCCCTCTGCAGAGCCTCCTGTGACGGGTGCCCCCTTCCACCAGAAGCACCCACTCTCACACCGGGGGCAGGCAACTCTGCTGCACCGGCACCACCACTCCCCCCTTCCCCATCCCCATGCACAAGGCAGGGGAGGCCCCAGGCATCTAGCCGACAATCAAATCCCTTTTTGCAAATCCCTTCCTCAGAAAGTTCTTAATAGTTTTTGTCCGCTTCCATCTTTTGTTTGGAAATATTTTCCAGGGATCAATGCTCATGTTCTGTGGACTTCATTACTGCAGATAGTTTACTTTGGGAAAAGAAGACAGATGCAGCTAGGGAATTACAGATCTGATGCTTGAAATACTTCCCTAAGGTATGTAATACAGTCATGAATAAAATACAAATACTCTCTTTTCTTTCTCCAGATGCTTATAGACTGAGGACTGGATCACCTTCTGGTAAGTACTTCTCCTTTGTTTTTATTCAGAATAAATTTATAAAGTGCATTTCATATGTAGGTTCATAGCAACATTACTTTAATAAACACATTTTTCTTGTGGATGCCCACTTGATATACAATTCAGTCTTTCTTATATGTATTTCAGTCCACACATATTTTGTAATGAACTATAAACTTTTGAAAAAAATCTTGGTCCCTTTTCAGAAATAAAAAATTATTATACCTCCTGAAAATACATGTGAAAGATCTGGAAAAAGCACGTATTAGTAAGCTAAAGGAAATGAGTGTAAAAAAAATAATTTCCCAGTCCTGGGGTTTGCTGGGTGAAGCCAATGTGGGGCACAGCCGTCTGCCCAATGACAACGCCTGTCCTGCAAGGAGGAAATCCCAGGGCACTGCAGAGACAGAGCTTGGCATCGCTGAGAGCTCCTGTAGTGCCAAGCAGAGAAGGCACTGGCTGCTGCCTGCATAAGATCCGCACACATGCACTCACAGCTGTATCCAAAAAAGTCAGCGGGCAACAAGCAGGAGGGATTCTCTGTTTTAAAGGGTGGGGAGGGAGACGCAAGGCACTACCCCAAACCAACAAAACATTGGAAAACCCTTTTATTTCAGGTCGATGGCGCCCTGAGCCCCAATCTGGCAGCAACAAGAAGCTGTTGTCAGAAGGTAGTTATTCAGTCGCGTGTGAGAGAAGCCAGGGTGGGCATCCTGGTTCAATGCTGCATAGCAGCCATTGAAAAAGTAGAGAAATAGGCACTGGATGTTGTGCATTTTTTCCCCATAGGACATCTTGTTTTAAGCAAAGCTCTCTGTAGAAGTCAGTGAAGAGCTCTGCCAAAAAGGCTTCTGTCGCAGTATTCTTCCCAGTTAATCAGCTGACTTAGAGAAAAATGTTTCTTTAAATCCTTCTAATTTTAAGTATTTCAGTTGTCAGGCTAAGAGACAAAATGAGAGCACAACCTCTTGGTAAGTAATATATATATTAGTCCCATTTTAATAATTAATGTAACTGCAACATACAGGTTTTCATACAACAATGTTTGTTCTGACTGCATCAACTCTATGAAAACCCTTTACATCTTCTTGAAAAACCTTGGCTTGTTCTTTCCACATAAGTGAAAAATAGCCCCGTACCCCACAAGAAAGACTCTCTGACTCAAGGATATAACCACAAACAGACATGCAGCACAACAGATCTTCAGCCTCAGCTTTTTTAAGGGCTTGTTTTCCTTAATAATAAACTCTTTAAGTTTAAAAATCTGTTTTCTTTTCTATCAAGATGCTGTGTCTGGGTGTGCTTTTCAAGAATTATTATTGTGTTGATTTTAATCTTTCTATTCTATAAAAGCTATAACTAATATTTTAGGCATTAATTGATTAAGTAGTTTTGCTGTGCCTATCCAAAGGGTACAGGCTAGTTTTTTCTTTACATGCTAACATTGTTCTTCTGGCTTTTCAGCCAACGAGTATCCACAGCTTCTCTTGCAATTACCCAAACAAAATGAAATACTCTGTTTAAATACTGATGGAAAAGCACATCCCTCTGGCCACCTGCTGTCAGATCCAGAGCAAGGTGAGTGACAGGGAGAATCACTTTGGTCTATGAGAGCAGCTGGTGTCTTTGGGAATAACCCCCTTTCATGAAGGGCCATATCATACCTGCTGCCCTGCAGTGACCAGAAGCTGTAGTTAATTTTTTCTTTCCATTAGGCAATACTAACTTTCACTGTGCAAGAGCTGAGGGCACTTCTCACAGGTCTTGTTGTGGGTCGCCTCCTTCTCCTCCTGGTGTCACATCCATGGCCTTTAAGGCTTTTCCCTGGCCCAACCCTTGGGGTCTTCTGAGAGCGCAGAGACCTTAAACCCCATGCTCCCCACATGCTAATGGAAAGATGCATGCTCTTAACACGCTGCAGTTTTTCTGTTGTCCTGTAGCCAGATGAGCTGTGGCCCCAGGTGCCTGTTGTCAGCTGCTTCAGTTATGGAGCAGAGCCACCTCTGTGAGAGGAGGTGGCAACGTGGGGGTAAACAGACTCTAGTGACTTCACTCCAGCCTTGGGGACACATGGATCTGGGGTACTGTGCCATAAGCAGATTTGAGACCCTTAAGTTGCTTTAGCAACAAAGCTGAAGTAGTTTTATTAAGATCAGTCGTACCTTATAAACACATTCACTTGACAAATTTGTATCAATGTTATTAAAGGACTCACTGTGACGGGGAAACTTGGGGACAGAATAAATCACTTTGTGCGGTTTGAAATTAACTATGTGAATCCCCCTGTGCAAATCCATGTCTCCACCCATGAGATCATCCTAAGGCACAATAACGAGAGCACTCAGCTTCCATGGATGGAGTCAGCCACATCCACTGTCCAGAGGTAAGGGGTGTCACCCCATCCTCTCCCAAGCTTGAAAACATGTCAGATCATCTTTTTTTTTTTAATCCAGGCCTCCGCTTTCACATTTGCTTCAAGTAATTGCTTCCACTTACCCAGTGAGTAACTCAATGTGACCAGAAGTGGGGCACCTTCACAGTCCCCCATTTCAAATATGGAGAACAAAAAAGGTTTGATTTTAATTCTTCGTGCATGTGTAAGAGAATCAAAACAGTTGCACCACCAGCCTGCCTTTCTGCTTCCAAGGAAAAGGACCCCCTGCGGTGCATAGCAGCCCCTGTGGCACCACTGTGCTGGCTGCCACGAGGCACTTTGTGTTCCTCCAACCGCAGAGCAAGTACTGCGAAGTGATGGTTTTGACATTTACTGGCTCTTTTACACATCAGTTGGCTCCACACAGGCTGAAGTTTTCTTTCTCCTCAGTTTTAGCAATAACTCACATCTGGGCAGCTGACATTTTTTTATGGGAAGGCATAAAGTGTTTCAATAGCTGTCTGTAACTAAATTCCCACTGTTGGATAAAGGGTACTTTAAACATAGGCTTAATTTGTCGGGCTAATTAGAGCAGGATCCTTCACTAACACAAGAAAGAGCTGAACGTAGTTAGTTCCACCAGATTTTTGCATTGCCAGAATAAACCTCCAGGAGGATCTGCTGTTAGTCTGGGGCAGACAGGACACACAGCACTCCCTCCCTTTTAGGCAGTTCTAGACAATTACAGAAGTCTTAAAACAACTGCTTTCAATTATGTTTGTAATCCAAACGGAGCCAAGAACATGCTGGATTTATGCCCCTCTGTAATTTGTTGTCTGTCAAGCAAAATGATCCTCCTGCTTCAGACCAACACCCGAGCCCTTGCAACCACAACACTAAGCACGCCAGCACGTGTGGGTGTGGTTTTTTTGTCTAACCTGATCTGCAAGAAAAATGACAGTGGATGCTGGTGTTCTACAAGCAAGCACACTGGGGCTCAAAATAAAGTTAATGGGTTACAAGACAGACAGGGTCTGAAAAACTTTGTGAAATATCCATGAAAAAGTATTTGACTTGTTCATAAAATAGATTGAATTATTTTATCTAGTCTACCTTTTTTTCCTCATTAAAATGACCAAAAAAAATTTTTTTTTTCTCCAAGCATTTCCTGTCGTTATGGATAATAAGGTGTTTTCATCAGGAAAAAGTTCTTGTCTGTTGGTGTATTTGCATGTAAACTGACATGGGGAAGATCTGTTGTGCAGCAGAGAGAAAAGATGTGTTACCTAATATTTTCTAGTTTAAAAATACCACCAACAGATCATAAAAATTAACTGCGAAGAGACAAAAGGCAAAAATTACACTATTTTAGTTAATTAATGTCAGCTAGGTAAATATATATTCTTTCTTCGTATTCTTCTTGGAAATAACATCACCATTTACTTCCTAGGCTGAGAGTCTCAGTTGAAAAGGAAAGGAGTGTTACAGCATCATTGTCTGATACAGTCACAGTGAAAATTTCCCTTGTAAAGTTTCCAGATGATTTCCTTGGGCTGTATTTCTTGAACACCAACCATTTTTCTGACAAAGTCAGTGGAGTTCTGGGTATGTATCATTACAGATGTATGCAGCAAAGAAGGCTGATCTTGTAACTAAGCTCCTGAAATGAGCATATAGTGGGAGGGGTTTCAGCCACATCATAAGCCCTTATTCAGATTTTACTTCCCTGGGTCCTGACAAGCTC